ATAAAGATGAGGAGAGAGCATACAGGGAGGAGGAACAGCCAGTGAAAATATAGGAAGTTAAAAGAGTGAGTGTCTTGGGTGAGGTGCAGCAAGGAGACCAGTGTCAGCAAATAATGGAATTTGTGGGGGGTGAGTAAAGTGTCAGAATACTGGAAGGAGGAAAAGCAGTTTTGGGAAGGACTTTGAACACCAGAGGATTTTATATTTGATTCTAGAGGTGGCAGTTCAGGTCATTGCCAAAAGAAATTATAGAATCAATTTAGATTGATATAGATTATACAAATAAATTATGTAAACGGTTACATTATCACAGGCTGTAAAAATTTAGCACCTACCAAACACGTAGCAAGACATGACCTGATAGCTAAAATTACAGATCAGAAGCTTACCATCTTTCATGGACTAACAGACAAAATTTCTGGGGGAAAAAAACCTCAATAAATTTAATTGGAACCAGACCATCATCACAGATCAAAATGCTACCTACAGCTGCCCAGATATAATGCTGATCCATAAAAACTTAAGAACAGCATTTTACATAAATGTTCTCATTCCAAATAGACAGCAGTGGCTAGAGCTGCACAATAGTTAATAAACACAGGAACTCCAGATATCCTTTCTCTACCTGCTCAGGAACATTTGGTCAATTAATTTTATCTTTAGAAAATAAAATGAAAAACATAACAAAAACCTCACAAACAGAAGTGAAGCAGGACTCGCTAGCAGGTGCACTGGTAATTCTCTAAAAGTATATGTGGGCAAAAACAACAACAATAATAATAACACTGTCAACCTTGTGAATTCACATTTCATTTTATGAAGTATGATCTCATTTCTAGGTAGATTCCAGGTTTCCAGGACAGATTCATGAAATTCTTGCTCTAGAAAAGCTGCCAGTGCATGGCACGTAGCAGGCACTTAAAATTTTTTTTATTGTTTATTGACTGAATAACAATTTAAATAAATAGCACAAGGAAGTTGTTGGACAAATCTGAAATTCACACTTGTAGGTCACCCACAATTACCTAGACATAACATCCAAATTTAATCTTTTAATACATATCTCCATACCAAATAAATATGTATGATCTCCAAACTACAGGGAATGAAAAGATTTTAAAACATAGAGACCAAATAGTAATCAAAACCATGCTGAAATACAATGAGGTACCTGTCATCTCCATTGTTCTGTCTGCTATTGGAGTTGAATGGAAGATGCTTCCACTGAGACTCAAAAAGAGCTTAGATCCTAAAACATTTGCTCTATTGCAAAGGGCCGTTATTTTACGCACCTGTGCACAGAACATTAAATAGAAAAGAATAATAGCAGTATATTGAGTTATCCCAGGACCACAACTCTCCAAACTCCACCCCCAAAGATGACAATGAGATAATATAAAAATAAATTAATAATACATTCCTGGCTTTTTATTTGTGGGTCATTTGCTTTTTGGACAAATTCCTAATCCCAAGGTTTCTCCCTGTCATCCAGCACCCTTCTAAACGGTCTTTCTCTGATGTCAGTTTGTATGTGCTCAGAGAATGCTAATTTATTATTTATACATATTTTGGAATATGGAATAATTCAAGTAATACATAATTTGGAAAGAAAATCGGTTGCTAAAACATCATATACAATGTATCCCAAGTGTTCTTATAGTCACAAACAAAAATGACATTTGGGTCATCGGTGGTTTTGAATTATTCAAATCATTGTCTCCATTAGCAGATACATTCAAATTGCCGATAATGCTAAATACCTTTGGCCAACAGATGAAGGAGTGTTTGGTTTTGTTTTTCAAGTCATTGGAATTAGAATTTCCAACCCCAGCTTTGATACACCTGGAGGAAGCTTCAATTATCTAAAGGGAAATAATCAACCATTCTCAATACTCTGAAAGCAAAATTATTTCTCTTTGGTTAAAATATGTACATATATACATATGCACATATATGACATACAGAACTTTCAGTGAAGTCAGAAAATGAATGAAGCTGAATGCTGCAGCTACAAAATGGAATCATAGCATGGACTATGCCTACTTTGCTCGTAAGTTAGGCTTTTCAGATCATACTTGAAAATTTAAATACTTTCTTCTGGGAGAAAAACCATGTGAAAAGGATTATTGGTCTATTGTTGTGTTTTTAAAGACTGCATCTTCCTATCTTGGCCAGGCTGGAAATACAGGGGCTAGCTGATCTTTCTACTGATGAGTTAGAAGTTTTGACCTGCCCCATTTCGGGCCTGGGCCATATGGCCTCTCCCTATGCAGGCGGGTTGCTCCCCTGCTTCCAGGGGGCTCACCATATTGATACTGGACTCAGTACAGACAACCAATTGACTTAGCCCACATCAAAGCCCCAGACACCTAGCAGTCTCAGCCCTCTCCAGTAGCTGAGATTATAGGCATGCACCACCATGTCTAGCTGATTGTTCAGATATTAAACAAAGACACTAGTATTTGTGGCTGTGATTTTTTCTCTTCCACATGTATTTCTTTAAAGCACCATCTGTTCCTCAAAGTGACATTTGCAAAACTGTGAATGAGCATACAATAATCCAAAATCTTTTGTCCAGTACAACTAGAGCTCTCTCTAGCCCCAAAGTGGCTCTGCTGTTTTTTAAGTCCTTGGTTTTTTCATTTTTTACCAAAAGCTGGTTATTAAAAAATTGTGTTTTTAATTACATGAAATGTTTATCAAGTTGGAGTTGAGATTTGCCCAAAGGAGAGGCAGAAGATAGTGAAGAGTAACTTGAACACATTAAAAAACAAGGAAGTATTCAGAAACAACTAGGTGGGGCAGCAGATTGAGTGCCAGGCCTGTAGTCAGGAAGACTTATCTTCCAGAAGTTCAAATCTGGCCTCAGACCCTTACTAGCTTGTTTAACCCTGGGCAAGTCATTTAATCCTGTTTGCCTCGACTTCCTTATTTGTAAGGTGAACTGGAGAAGGAAATGGCAAATCACTCTAGCATCTTCACCAAGAAAACTCCCAATGGGGTCATGAAGAGTCAAACACAACTGAAGCAACTGAGCAAGAACAATAAGAAGTACAAAAGATTTCTTCAGGCTACATACGTGTAGGACAAGTCCCACATGATTCTGGAACCTTGTAGAGTATTTCAGGTAATCAAAGTCATGCAAGCACAGCTCAAACCACCATCCAGCATATTTTCTACCAACAGACCAGAAACCATAAATCAAATGGCAAAGATTTTAATAAGCACAAAATAGCAAAATAAAATAACACAGGAAGATCCCTCCATATACAAAGATGTATAGTTTCCCATAGATTCCCATACCACTGGTGGGAGAAGGAATACTCTTTAGATGACTCAATATGCTAGAGGTGCATACCAGCTGAAACACTGTCTCCAACTGATGGTGTCTTTCTGCTCCTCTGCTTCTCTCCCACAGCGGCAACTGACTGCTGTTTTTACAGCTTCACACTGATGCTTCTCTACAGAGCTACTACAGTCATCTCTTGCTGGGATCCTCTCCATTGAGATAGCTGTAGCCATCTGGAGAAGCACTCTTCTACCTCAAAGGAAATATTATCACTCTTTATGAGATTACCCAGTCAAAACACGTAGATCTAATCAACAGAGCTCTTTTGTGAGGGAAAACCAGTCAAACCCAAGTGGCAAGGAGAGAGCCTCTCAGATCCAGATCACAGTCAGGGTTTCCTTACCCTGCTCTCAGGGAATTTCCCGAGGTAGGGTTATTTAAGTTAGGGTAGATCCTTATCTCCTTTCTGGTCTTTGCTTCCTTTTGCATAACATCTTCCTCAATTAAATAGTAAGTTCCTTGAGGGCAGGGACCATCTTTTGTCTTTCTTTGTATCCCCAGTGCTTAGCACAATGCCTGGCACACGCTGTTGTTCAGTCGTTTTTCAGTCATGTCCAACTCTTCATAACCTAGCACATAAGCGCTTATAAGTATGAATATCGTGCTAATATTAAGGATACAATACAGCACCGAGTTGGGAACTTGGATCGAGTCACAAAGCTTGTGAATGGAGCCATAGGGCAATGTAAATGGTCATATTTTGTCTAATAGCAATGGAAATATTAATATGATTTGATTATTGATCCAGAGTAAGAGTTATGGAGAGCAGTTGTTGAAAGGCGATCAGAGGGAGAAGTTCATGGCAATACACATGTAATGGCAAAGCACTCATCCTCTAATCCAGGTAGCTGTGCCCTGGTAAGTAGTAAAGTTGCCAGGTTGAATAGATTTATTCCCCTGGGGTATGGGTGGGAGGCAGAAGGTTAGGGTGGGTTACTATTTCTTATAAGAAGAGAGAGACAGCAGAAGGGCAGATGGCAAGATATGTGCATGAACTGGACCCTAGTGTTCTTGTGATAAAGCATGAATCAATCTTCACTTTGGTCCCTTTGTATCTAATCAGCCCCAAGGCCTGCCTCATCCTATTTAATCATCAACCAGGACATTAGGACCTAGAAAGAAGCAGCATCTTACTATTTTTCCTGTTCAGTCTACTATTTCCCGAAAGGAATAATAACCATTGGGAACAAGACTTAAGAAGACCAAACTGGGTGAAGTGCAGTTATAAGTCAGGTTAGTAAAGATTTTATTTTATGAAACGTGTTAGAGAAATTCCTAGGATTTCTGAAGTGCAATACATAATGCCTACAGTGTTCATCTTAAGCCATGAACTATAAAATTGTTAAAAAGAAACTATTAATAACTGAAACAGTATCAAGTAATATTTGAAAGCCCCTGGAGGTTTCTATAACCACTATAATGCTTCATTCATATAAGAATATAATGATGTACAAAGAGCTACTTGTCAATCTTGATTTACATTTTCCCATGGTAAATAGTATCCATTTTTTTTAACCATAAGTTTTACTTTCAAACTGAAATAATAGAGTATTTTCTGATATTTTGATGACCTCTACAGGAAAAAAAAAGGTTTTTAATTGCTTTGCCCAAGTGTTATTTTTAACAGAATTGTTTTCAGTGGAAAAAAAAATTGAAAATAATTTTGTATTTATTTGTTTTGGTACCTCATTAAATGAACAAGAAGGTGAACGTTACATTTTTCCTATTACAAAAGATTTTTTAAAAATTCAAATTGGAAGTAATAACTTTTATCTAACTTGTTCTCATTTCAGCTGTGGAAAACGTCTAGGCCTGATAAAAATTATTTTCAGAAACTGTTAATTGACCAACGCAGGACTATTTGAAACACATATGGAATGTTATAAAACATGAGATAGTTCATATACAACTTCAAAAACAGTAATCACAGAACATGGATGTTTTAATGAATTTCAAATTTCAATGAAGACACTAAAACACTTAAAAAAACAACCAGCACAGTAAAAGTAAATAAAAAACAAGTAGATCCATACAACACTTACAAATACATATTTCTTCCAAAAGAAATTTGTATTCACAAATTTAGGCAGCAAATGTTTTACATCAGATTCCAAAATATGTACAGATTTTGAATCTGTAAAAAAAAGGGATGTGCACTGGTAGAGAAAAAGAAAGCTACATAAGACCACTACCTTGCCTAACAATGTATCTTCTGTGAAATTCTGCATCGATACATATTTTTTCCCTAATACACTTTCCTCCATTATTAAATGAAATTCTGGACATGTCTGCATTCAGCATGAAACATGACAATTTCAACCCTAAAAATTCATTATCACCAACTGCCTACCTGACTTGCTGGAAATAACATTTATGGCCACAAATAGATATTATATAAAATTAAGTTAAAAGATGATACAGTGGTTAATAGTGTAAATATTAGCCTGCTCCTAAGAACTCAGCTCTAGCACCTTGAGGATTTACTTTACTTCCAATGAAAATGAGTGTGTATACTCATTTCTGGTGTCAGAGGTTGGCCCCTCTAGTTTGTGGTAAAAGTAAGCAGCCACTGGCAGTGATGGATACTAGTCTGCATAGATCTGAATGGCCTTCATGTCATGTATTCTAAAGACTTCAAAAACATTAAGCAAAAACAGGCTAAAACTTGGTTTGTAAAGGTTGAATCAGTTATTTCTGTGTATATATTGATGTATGAATGTATGCATATGTATAATATATATGCATATATGTAAATATGCATATTTATATTTCCAGCAGTGATTCCAAAACATCCGAATTTCCAAATTAAAAGAAATCAAGTCAATAACACTATCTCTGTAATCTAGCATTCAAGAGCAAGTTAATAATACTCAGGCCTTTGAATATACAAGAAAGGGGACAGGAAACGGTATTTTGAATATCAATTTTCCAAAAGTTAATGCGTAACAGGTTAAAAATAAGTCATAGCAAATGCCTCAGCAGAATCAAGGCATTATGGCAAAATGTTCTTCAGAAAGCAGTAGCTGAAACCTGGAGCGCTTTTATTTACTATAGTGGCAACTAACTCTGGAATCCCCAAACTGTATTTGAGCTAATAAAAAATCAAATTTGAAAACACATCAGAGCCTTCCGAGTTTCAAAGAAAAATGTACTACAATAATGTTTATTTACTTCTTATCACTTCATCAAAAAAAACCCCAGCTTTATACAATATTATTCTTTTGTTGTTTTAACTTATAACTCACTCTTTTTAGGAATTCCCTCCTTTTTTTCTTCTTATTCCTGAATAAACCAATGAATGTTAATCAACCCCTGCAAAATTATATCTAACTATGTAAGTTCAGCTACTGTTCTATGTATTGTGTCAAAAAATGTCGCATTCTTTTCACTCACAATAAGCTCTTCTGAAGAGCCTCCTATTTCCAATTAGCCCTACACATTACTGAATGGGTATATCAGTTACAAAACTGTGAACCACCCTCCCACATCACCTAAAAATAAGGGAGAAAACCATGAATAAAGAAAAATGGCTGTCCAAATGTGAAGGGCAGTACACCAAGATCCCTTTTTAAGTAAGACTACAAGTCAACAAGAAATAATACTTACAAATTTTAGTATGACATTCTGATCTCAAGGAAGCCAAGAGTAATAGGATCACTCACTCTGCAATATGATAAGGTATTGCAATAGCTCTAGTCTCAGCTATTAGTCTGAGAGAAAAGAATCTTCCAAACTTACAAATTTTTTTGTGTTATAACTTTATCAAACCAATAACAAGTTGTTTATATTCAAGATACATTTGGTGTGATTGTCTTCTTCCCTTCTGATTTTAATTCAATATTCCAGCTATAAACCAAAAGTGCTTCAACTAGGCCACAGTGAGATTCAAAGTTCATAACATTCATTTGTGAGGTAGTACTCATGTATTCGCATTGCTGGCTCTCAAATGCCACCAGGGAAGTGGACCTATTTATAAAGATGCAAACTGAAGGTGTAGAACATAAAAAAGATTTTGTTTTCAGGTAGGTCACCAAAAAGTAGCAAGTCCTTCTTACAAAGGTCAAGTCACAGTCATTGGGTAAGTCATCTGAAACTTCTATAAACTGTTTATAACCACAGTTATAAACTAAAGTGCTTTAAATTTTGCTTCAACATATTTCAGTGATTAGAATCCTATTTTGGAATTGTTAGTGCAAGACCTTATGAAATTGAAATGACTTAATATTATTAGGGCAGAAAACACCTCTTTTTAAAAAGAAACTTCCTTTGAATGTTGAGTCAACATTCTATACATACTAGAAGCTGCTAAACTTTTACTTCTCAAATCCATGCTATTTTTACAGAACTATACTCAAACTTAATATTGAAGCTGTATTACACTGAAGCACTACATATCAAAACTTCATGTAAGAAGTAAATATGAAATGTGTGACTACCAGTGTGACTACATCAACTCAAATTCAGGCCTTCAATCTTTTCAAAATATAGTAGATATTTATGATTTTTCTGTAAAATGCAAGAGACCACTACCTATCTCACAACGAGTATAAGGATTTCACATTGACACTGAATTCACAGAAATGTAATGCCCTACTGTTCATGTATCAAATGTGGAATAATTCATGAGCCTTTTATGTGCTCTATGGGAAGTGAACTTCATTTCTAATGACCAATGGATGCCAGTATATAAAAGGTCAATACACAAGGGGAAATCAAGGGAAGAAAAATGATCACACATTTTCAGTTCATTTCATGCAAACTGGGCACAATGTGGAAACAACATTTACATAGCCCCCTTTTTAGGGTTCAATTCTCACAATAATGGCAGATCAATACGCAGAAATATCTGCATGAGTTAAAAGTCTATGGCAAAAAAACAATTGTGGAGAATCCACAGATCTTATTTTTCTTGTAGCAAAGCAGGGATGTTGATGTTCCAGCCAATGGCCTGGCGATCAAACCCACAAGTAAACAGGTTGCATACTGGATGATCTTCACTCCAGGCTGAGCAGCACACCATTCTTCTATGGCCCTGTAATGGTCAAACAAACCAAAATTAGTGTCCAAAAAAAGACCTATAAAATGGCAACCAAATTAGCACTGGGGATAGAAAGAAAAGCAGAATCATGGTCCTCACCTCCAAAGAATTCACCTTCTAATGAGGAAGACTATATGCAAATAATAATGTACATCCAAAATGTGTGTGTGTGTGTGTGTGTGTGTGTGTGTATAAAATGTAAATGGAAGAGACCCTCAGAAGGAAAATACTAAGTGGAATGGTTAAGCAAGAGGCAGGAGTTCAGAAGAGAGGTTAGGGATAGATAAAGATGTAAGAATTATCTGTGCAGTGACAATCGAACCTGAGTCTCAATTTCTCATCTATAAAATGAAGTAGTTGATCTAGATGGCTTCTCAAATCCCTTCTAGCTTTAAACTTATACTCTTCTTTATATGTGTGTGTGTGTATACTTATATATATACACACACATATATGAAAAATATTCCATTACTTATACTCTTTTATATATATGTATATATATATGTATGTATGTATGTATGTATATGATATTCCATTACATTCATATACCACAACTTATTTAGCCATGCCTAATAGATGGGCATCCCCTCAATTTCCAATTCTTTGCCACCACAAAAAAGAGCTGCTATAAAAATTTTTGTACATGTGGGTCCATTTCTCATTTTTATGATTTCTTTGGGATACAGCCCTAGAAGTGGCATTGCTGGATCAAAGGGTATGCACATTTTTACAGCCCTTTGGGTATAGTTCCAAATTGCTCTCCTAAATGGTTGGACCATTTTACAACTCCACCAAGATATATCAGTGCTCCAATTTTCCCATATCTTGTCCAACATTTATCATTGTGCTGTTCTGTCATGTTAGCCAATCTGATAGGTGTGATGTGGTACCTCAGATTCGTTTTGATTTGCATTTCTCTAATTAACAGTAGTTTAAAACATTTTTTCATATGCCTATAGATAGCTTTATTTTCTTCTTCTGAAAACTGCCTGTTCATATCCTTTGACCATTCCTCAATTGGGAAATGACCTGTATTCTTATAAATTTGACTCAGTTCTCTATGTATTTTAGAAATGAGGCCTTTATTAGAAACACTGGTTGTAAAATTTCTTTCCCAGTTTTCTGCTTCCCTCCTAATCTTGGTTGCATTGGCTTTGTGCAAAAACTTTGCAATTTAATGTAATCAAAATTATCCATTTTGCATTTCTTAATGTTCTCTATCTCATTTGGTCATAAATTCTTCCCTTCTCCATATATCTAAAAGGTAAACTATTCCTTGCTCTTCTAGTTTGCTTAGAATATCAGTCTTTATATCTAAATAGTGTACCCACTTTGACTTTATCTTGGTATAGAGTGTAAGATGTTGGTCTATGCCCAGTTCCTGCCATATATTTTTCCAGTTTTCCCAGCAGCTTTTGCTAAATAGTGAGTTCTTATCCTAGAAACTGGGGTCTCTGGGTTTATCAAATAGTAGATTAGTACCGTCATTGACTGTTGTGTCTTGCATACCTAACCTATTCCACTGATCCACTACTCTGTTTATTAACCAGTACCAAGTAGTTTTGATGACTGCTGTTTTATAATACAATTTAAGATCTGGTACAGCTAGGCTACCTTCCCTTGCATTTCTTTTCATTAGTTCTCTTGATATTCTGGACTTTTTGTTCTTCCAGATGAATTTTGTATTGTTTTTTCTAGCTTTATAAAATAATTTTTTGGTAGTTTGATTGGTATGGTGCTGAATAGATAATTTAGGTAGAATTGTCATTTTTATTATATTAGCTCAGCCCACCTATGAGCAACTGATAGTTTTCCAATTATTTATATCTGACTTTATTTGTGTGAAAAGTATTTTGTAATTGTGTTCTTATAGTTCCTGGTTTTGTTCTGGCAGGTAGACTCCCAAGTATTTTATAATGTTTACAGTAATTTTAAATGGAATTTCTCTATCTCTTGCTGCTGAGCTTTGTTAGTAATATATAGAAATGCCAATGACTTGTGTGGGTTTATTTTATATCCTTGAACTTTGCTAAATTTATTATTTCAAGTAATTTTTTACTGGATTCTCTAGGATTCTCTACATATACCATTATAACATCTGTAAAGAGTGATAGCTTTGTTTCTTTGCCTATTCTAATTCCTTCAATTTCTTTTTCTTCTCTAATTACTACAACTAAAATTTCTGGCACAATATTAACAGTGGTGATAATGGAAATCCTTGTTTCACCCCTACTCTTAGTGCAAATGCTTCTAGGTTATCCCCATTATGTAGAATGCTTGCTGATGGCTTTTGATAGATGCTACCTATCATTTTAAGGAAGACTCCATTTATTCCTGTGCTCTCTTGTGTTTTTAATAGGAATAAGTATTGTATTTGGTAAAATGCCTTTTCTGTTTCTATTAAGATAATCATATGATTTCTGTTAGTTTTGCTGTTGATATGGTCAATTATGCAGATAGTTTTTCTAATACTGAACCAGCCCTGTATTCCTGGTATATATCCTACCTGGTTATAGTGTATTATACTCGAGATAAGTTGTTGTAATCTCTTTCTTTGCTAATATTCTATTTAAAATTTTTGCATCTATATTCGTTAAGGAAATTGGTCTATAATTATCCTTCCCTGTTTTGGCTCTTCCCAGTTTAGGTATCAGCACCATATTTGTATCATAAAAAGAATCTGGTAGGGCTCCTTTTTCACCTATTTTCCTAAATAGTTTATTTGGTATTGGAATTAGTTGTTCTTTAAATGTTTGATAGAATTCACTTGTAAATCCATCTGGCCCTGGAGATTTTTTCTTAGGGAGTTCACTGATTGCTTGTTCAATTTCTTTTTCTGAAATGGGATTATTTAAGTATTTTATTTCCTCTTCTGTTAATCTGGGCAATTTATATTTTTGTAAATATTCATCCATTTCACTAAGACTGTCAAATTTATTGACATACAGTTGGGCAAAATAGCTCCTAATTATTGTTTTGATTTCCTCTTCTTTGGTGGTGGATTCACCCTTTTCATTTTTGATGCTGGTAATTTGGTTTTCTTCTTTCTTTTTTTTTAAGTCAAATTAACCAAAGGTTTGTCTATTGTATTGCTTTTTCCATAAAACCAACTCTAAGTTTCATTTATTAGTTCAATAGTTTTCTTAATTTCAATTTTATTAATCTCTCCTTTGGTTTTTAGAATTTCTAGTTTGGTGAGGATTTTCAATTTGTTCTTTATCTAGCTTTTTCAGTTGCACGCCCAATTCATTGATCTCTTCTTTCTCTATTTTATTCATTAAGCATTTAGAGATATAAAACTTCCCCTAAAGGAAACCTATAGTCTTATGATAAGATGGTATGACTAGATAACACCTAAAGTTTCTGTCAGCTCCGAAACTATGATTCCACGATCCTGACAAGATATATTTACATTACTGTATGGTGGGGGGCGGAGCCAAGATGGCAGAGTAAAAGCAGTGACTTGCTTGAGCTCTCCCCCAAACCCCTCCAAATACCTACAAAAAAAATGGCTCTAAACAAATTCTAAACCCACAAAAAGAGAGTGAAGCAAATTTCCAGCCCAAGACAACCTGGATGGTTGATCAGAAAGGTATATCAAATAGAGTAGGGGGAGGAATGTAGTCCAGCTTGGGTGTGCAGGTAAAACAGGCCTCAGTGAACCTGGAGCAGCCCTCAGAGGACTGAATCATGGGCAGCTGTGGCAGTTTCCAGACTTATCAACTCACAAATGCCAAAGACAACTTAGAAGGTCAGTAGGAAAAGTCTATGACTGCAGTGAGAGAGAAGATCAGTCCCAGCCCCAGTTCCCGAGCTGGTCCCAGGGCGACAGCTGCTTCCAACCCACAGACTGAGGGGGAATTGAGTGGCTGATCAAAGAGGGATGGCAGGGATCTTTTTGTTGGTGCAGGATTCTCTTGCTTTGCCCATGCTTGGACCTGGGTCACAGCTCTGGGTGGTAGTCCTGGGGTGAGGAGGAGTGCTGGCATGGTGGAACTTGTAGTGGTGGTGAAGAGAAAAACCTCCTCACAGTTCCAAGGCAGACAAGAGTGCTTGTGGTCACTCACAGACCAGAGCACAGGCCAGGAAAGGAGTAAACACCTTGCCCCTTATCATACCACCTTGGAAGAAGTGAAAATTCACAGGTCCCTAGAAGTATCTCTGAAAATAGCTGCACAAAACCCCCAAAGCTTGGGACAGTACATTCTCCACATTGGAAGCAGACCCCTACCTTAACAAAGAGCTTATAATTCACATAATTGGCTGGGATCAAGAGCAAACTTTGCAAAAAAAGTCAGACCATAGAATATTTCTCTGGTGACAAAGAAGATCAAAACATACAATCCAAAGACAACAAAGTCAAAGTTCCTACATCCAAAGCCTCCAAGAAAAATATGAATTGGTCCCAGGCCATGGAAGAGCTCAAAAAGAATTTTGTGAAGCAAGTAAGAGAAGTAGAGGAAAAACTGGGAACAGAAATGAGAGTGATACAAGAAAATCATGAAAAACAGGTCAAGAGCTTGCTAAGCAAGAGAAAATAACAACTTAAAAAACAAACTAACCCAAATGGCAAAAGAGATCCAAAAAGTCAATGAGGAGAAGAATGCCTTAAAAAGCAAAACCAGCTAAATAGAAAAGGAAGTCCAAAAGCTTACTGAAGAAAATACTTCCTTAAAAATTAGAAGGGAGCAATTGGAAGCTAGTGACTTTATGAGAAATCAGGACACTGTAAAACAAAACCAAAAGAATGAAAAATAGAAAACAATGTGAAATATCTCATTGAAAAAACAAATGACCTGGAAAACAGATACAGGAGAGAGAATTTAAAAATTATCAGACTATCTGAAGGCCATGATCAAAAAAAAAGAGCCTAGACATCATCTTTCAAGAAATTATTAAGGAAAATTGCCCTAATATTCGAGAATCAGAGGGCAAAATAGAAATTGAAAGAATCCACTGATCACCTCCTGAAAGAGATCCCTAAAGGAAAACTC